GGGTGTGCCTTGGAACACAGCAGCCCTGCACCCAGCCCTGCCATGCAGTGGCTGGTGTGGTTGCCTGCTTGGCCCTCTGGATGTTGGCGCCACTCGAGGCTGGGGCCACCTCAGCAGCTTCCTAGGGCCCAGTATGTCAGGGCTCTGAGAAGCACAACCATTTCCTCCCCCAGGAGGCATCCAGCCCTTTGTCTGTCTAAACTGCTTCTTCCTAACCAGTCTGAGGAAGAGAGAGCAGATCGGTGGAGGTAGGTTTGCCTCTTAAGCAGCCTGCAGATGAGGATCAGAGCCAGCGGAGGCCACACTTGGACCTGCCCTCACTGGCAGGGACAGCCCAGAACCCTGGGGACCCCCAGGCCTTGGTTGGGGAGAAGGCCGGGGCTGCACCTATGACTTGCAGGATGAGCTCAGCCTGCACAGAGCCTCCCTCACTCCTCAGCGTCACACTGTACTGGCCACCATCCTTCCTGCCCACACTGGGGAGGCACAGCCGTGCGTAGCTGTCCCCCAGGGCCACCTGTGGCCCCTTGCTGCTGCTGCTGCTGCTGCCCACCACCTCGGCCCTGTCCTTCCTCCAGACTGCTTGAACAGGGTGTCAGCTCTGGAAGGGGATCTTCATTGTCACCGGCTTCCCAGCCTTGACCATCAGTGGCTCTCTCAGTTTCTCTGTCACATCTGGAGCAATGGTGGGGGGATCTGGGGATAAANCCGCCTCTCCACCATGTAGTGCTCTACAGCACGGCCCCCGTCGTCCCTCGGGGGCTGCCAGTGGAGACAGACACCAGCCCTGTGGCAATCCTGCACCTCCAGGGGGCCCTGAGGGGGCTGAGGCTTATCTGCAGACCCACCGAAAGGGGCAGGAAGAGAGGGGGTCAGAGGAGCTGATGGAGAGCGATGCTGGTCTCCCCCCTCATCTGCAGATAAGGCTGCAATGGAGTGGACTGCCCAGAGAGCCTTGGGCATCACCCAAAGGTCACACAGTCCCTGACACAGCCAGGTGTCCTGGTCTCCACCCCCCAACACACACACACCCAGGGGTGTGCCTTGGAACACAGCAGCCCTGCACCCAGCCCTGCCATGCAGTGGCTGGTGTGGTTGCCTGCTTGGCCCTCTGGATGTTGGCGCCACTCGAGGCTGGGGCCACCTCAGCAGCTTCCTAGGGCCCAGTATGTCAGGGCTCTGAGAAGCACAACCATTTCCTCCCCCAGGAGGCATCCAGCCCTT